CTCCTACATCATTAAATAAGTTACAGTGTTTTGAAGAAATTCGACACCGCAGAACTTTGATTTTTACACATTTTTATAACTACTCCGTAAAGCAATAAAATTGTTAGATATAGCTTTTCTATATTAAGGTAACGTTATGTACAGACATACATACATATGTACATATGTACCAAAAGTGTTTAAATTAAAATCAAAACAAACAGTCTTGTTATGCTTTTTTTTGTCTGCAGTGAACATACAATTTGGGATCTTAATATTTGAACGTCGATTTGCTTTTATGTATGACAAAACTTCATTTGTTTGGGCCAAAAGTAAATTATTCAATTTGTTTAACAAATATATAAATATGCTCGAACAAACTTATGTATGTATGTATGTATGTTCATAACTAGGTAATACTAATTGGTTTCATTAGTTTAATTTAAAAGTTTCAAATGTTTTTTTTTTTTTTTAAGTAATGCTGATTGTGTCCTGTGTGAGCGTTGGTTATATGTGTTGAATATACACACTAACGAATGGATACATATTTACTCTAATCGAATTTCATGTGACTTATTATACCTCCCATCCCAGCTCAGACCAGGCAAAGAACTTGGTTCAAGACTGCAAAGTATAAGCTGTTTAAACTCTTATTGGTGGCTAGTCGTCACGCAAACAGCAGCGGATCCCAATATGTGGATAGTACGTACATACATATTTAAACGCCATGTGTATGCGCACGAATGTTATAAATGAAAACGTGGGCAATTGTTGAGGGTGCTTAGTTAGGTGGCTCCGTTTCATTTTCTTTCCATGCTGGCCACACACACACACTCATACGTACTATTGAATTTTGCAGATATTGGTTAGAAGCAGGCGAAACTTGGATTTTTGTTTATGCCTTCATATAGTTATGTAAGCACTTTTGTACGTATGTATGTATGTGTGTCATTTATTTAAGTAGAGTGGCGTTAAGTCAAACTAGTAAAGACGCGCTGCATAGTTTAGTCCTCATCGGAGAGATTAGCGTTGGTTAGCAGTGTTGTATTATCATCCGCACCGGCCTCTTCGACGTCCTAAAATCGAAAGAAAAACAGAAAATTAATAAAAAAAAAAAATAAATAAAAAATGAATTCGCAAGCAAGAAAAAGTAAAATTCTTAATTTCTTTACAGGTGGCGGAGCTTTACTCTACTTACATTGCGATTCCGCTTGCGCACCGAGGAGACGATGGCGCGTTTGTTGCGTGCCACCAAGCAGACCGCAATTATTAGAATCATGCCAGTTAAGGCGAAACCCAGTAATGCAGGCAATAAAACGCTGTCCTCCTTGTACCCCTTTATAGTAGAGCAGCGGGTGGAAAGATGTTGAAAAAAAAATGTATTAATTAATGTTAAGAATTGCAAATTACGATTTAACAGTTAGGTTAACATACGTATGTATGTATGTATACTTATAGGGTTATGTTAGTTATAATTAATAATTCACCTTAATAACAGCTAACTAAGGCCATACACTAGGCGGCAAATGAAAGTGTACACCTTATTCTAATAAAATATGCACAATTACTTTCATGAATAATTCCTTAATTATTTAGGAAAATATAGTTCAATCTATAATATAAACCATATAAATCAAAGTTTAACACTTTATATAAAATTCACAACAAATGCAAAAAATTTTCGTCAAAATTTTTAACTTTTTATTCAGAATTTTGTAAAATTGAAACATTTTTTGCTTTAATTTTTTATGAAAATATGCTTCATTCTTAATATAAACTATATAAATCAAAGTTTCACGCTTTATATAAAGTTCACAAAAATTTAAAAAAAAATCCATTAAAATTTTATAACTTTTTTTTACTTTAAGAAGTGCAAGTTTCGACCGGTTAAAAAAATCGTGTTGATTTTTGTGATTTTTTTTTGAGACTGCTTTTGCGGTTTTTTTTATAGAACAAGTGGAATTTACAAAAACTGACGTTGACTTTTTGAAATTTTGTTGCTAGCGGTCTCCTGCATTTTATTTCATAAGAAATTCCAGCTTTATGGGAAAAAGTGCGAAAATCCGTCACCAAAAAAAAAAAATTCTCAAAAATATATGCAATTTTTTAGCTGGTTGAAACTTGCACTTCATTAGTCTAAAATTTAATGGGCTACAAAACTGCATACTCGATTTGTTTTTTTTTAGAGCGCATACATGGTTCCAAAATGACGATTCCAGTATCTTCATTCATGCATATTGTAACTATAAATAACTTATAAAGAGAAGTGCAAATTTTTGTACCTAAAACTAATAAAGTTAGAAGGACGAAATTCGAAGATGTGGTAGTTTACATATTAATCCTTGACATATATTTTTTTTTTAAATAAATATTGGAAATTTCCAAGGATATTCAAGTATAAAGTTTTAAAAGGACATTTTCAACATTTATTCGTCCTGGTACAACAAAAAATTATTATTGTTTTTTTTTAATTCTACAGAATTTTTCATTTTAACTGATACCCATATTGTTACTCTACAATGCACAAAATCTTTTAAATAATTCTTTTATTCAATCATATCCTGGAAATTTCAAAGTCCTTAAAAAAAAATTCTGACGCCAGAGAGAAAAATTAAAAACGCAGTTATACTATATTTGGCTCCTAGTTTTGTGAATATATGGACTTTTTCGTGTCTTTTAAAATTTTTGGTTTTTGTCGCACGGTGTTATATTAGAAGAAAAGGTTGGTTAAAAGGCTAGTATATTCCCGTGCATTCGATTACAAGTGCCAAATAATTTTATAGTGGAAAGGGGCATTTATATGGGTAGTGGCGTCTAAATAACTCTGTATATATATCACAAATAAACAACTCGAGATAGCAAGAAATTTGTTAAAAGATAGTGATCTGCCTCCCGATCTTCCTTCGTTCCTTAACTCCTTACCATGTATCTCAAAGTTGATTGACTTTTGGGTGCAAATTGATATTGAATATCATGCTAAAATAATTTACCCACTACAGCTAGCAATTATCAATACACGCACTTGTTAATTCTTTTCACCGAGATTTTATTGTACGCGAAACCTGACTCGCCTTCATGATACATATACAGTGGGAAGAAAAACCGAGTACAGGTCTTTACAGTTAAACTTTTTTTTTTTTTTTTTGTAAAAATATGGTTCGTGCTTTAAAAAAATTTTTGAGCTTTTTAATCTGAACTTTCAAGGCATGCTGTTTTATAGCCTGTTAAATTTTCGTATAAATTGCAATTTTTGGGTAAGCTGCTAAAAAATCCTGTTGATTTTATTTTTTTTTTACTAACGGCTTTTTGTACATTGTTGATGAACATTTCTCTAAGCTTTGTATAAAGTTTGAAATTTTGATTTATATTGTCTTGGTTAAAGCATGAACCATATTTTATAAAAAAAATAACAAAAATAAAATGTCTTGTCTTGCTTACGGTCCACTGAAAGTAGGTCGACGGATCAATGTAAGGCCAATGCGATTGTATCCAGTCAGCGTCTTTAGTCTCCACAACATCTGCGGCATTCACTTTTAGCGGCTCATTACCGCCATTCGCATCTGCGCCACTGTTATCGGACTGCCTTGGCGGTATAGCTTCCGAATTGGGCCGCGCCAGCACCGGCGGTATGATGGGCTTCTTAGCCGTAGACTTGAGCAGCGGCAACTGCATGATGCGTGTCGTAATGGTGGGTAAGACTACAGCGCTGGCGTTTTGATTTGAAATCGTGTTGACATTAAATGTAGCTGCAGCTGGTGCAGAGGCTGCAGCGGGTGCATGTGGCGAATAAATGCTGGTGGTCGAAAAGGACGTTGTTGGACGTATTGCGGGTGCGGGGCCATTTTGTAACGGACGACTTGGTACGCCATTGTTGCCCACATTATTGTTGCCGTTAAATTGGTTACCATTTTGAGCAGGCTGTATGTGCATCGTGGTGGTCACCACGATGGTGGGCGGAACACCAGGCAATGACTGCATGCTGCCTGAATCGAAACGCACTTCCGAAACAAAATTATTCGCTTCCAGTGGTGGCTCTGCCTTATTTGGCAGGCCAAGCCCATCTCCAGCACCGATATTTGGGGCCGGCATTGTGGTTGTGATCGCAATCGCGTCATCCTTTCCCACTGTGACAATATCCTTTTGTGGTTCTGTTCTTCCATCCATTCTTTTATCAGCAGCAGCTGCATTGGTTTCCTCTGTTGGCGGCTGCTCCTCCTTATCCGACACATATCCAACTGGCCTGTCCTTGGTATCATTTAGTTTCGGCTCCGCTTGCGTTTTATTGACGCGCAAAATGATTTTCTCTACGCCGTCGCTATTGATAATTTCCACTTTCTGACCAATGCTCGCGGCGCTGTTGTGTTGCGGTAGGTGGTGGCCGCCACCATTTTCGCCCGTCCTACGCAAAGCTTCTCTCGGTCCGCCAACGTTCCTGTGTAGTCCATTTATGCCGCCGCCATGTGATAGTGCTGCCTTCGTCTTCAGAAACCACTCAGTGGGATTGGGCAAGCATTCGGCCGACACTAGGAACGGCACCAATATAGCACCTATAATAACGGTGCAGATGAAAATCAAGCCCAAGTAAGCGAAGAATGAGCGTCGTCTGGGGCGCCGCGCCTTGCCTTTGCGGCCAGCAGCGCCGCTGCAATTGTTGCCTGCGCTCGATAGCTTGCCCTCAATGCGAAAGTCATCGTTCTGTGGCAGTATCGTATACTGTAGGCTGTTTTCGCCATGCCGCACCGTCTTGTACATTTTTGCGACGCGAATGGTGGCGTCGAGGGGTGGTTTGCAGGGGCTCACCAAACGTACGCTAAACTATCGGTCGTCTAAATAGTTTGCAACTGCCTTTGCATTGCGAGGGTGCGCGACGGCTTAGCAATATTATATTCTCAACACACACTCACACACAAATGCAACGCGGATATGGATGTGTTGGAACTGGGAGTCGCGGTGATGGTGGCGGTGGTGCTCGCAAATCGCTCTATTCGTTATTGATTAAACAATATACTTGTNGTATTGTCATCAGCGCTTTTGTGGTTTAACCGGCCAATTTTGGCATTTCAGATACTACGTTACGAGTATGAAACTGCAACTGGCAATGCTGAGCATATCCTTGCTTGCGATTTAACGGTGTAACAGCAGTAAGGAGAGTACTTGGGGTGCTAGCTAGCGCGGAACGGAACGATATGAAACAAACTGGGTGGTAACTACGATGATGCATAATATTTTAATAGTAGAATTAAATTAGGTATTAAAATAGGAACGCATGCCAATTGTCCTTATTTATGGCCATAAACCTCCAGTTGTCACAAGTAAAAACTGTAATAATGTATTATATGTATGTATATTAGTGACTGTTAGTCAATGGAAAAATGGAGAAAAGCGTAATAAAAGAGGTCAAAATAAGTTTTCATCCGCGGTTTCTGAGTACGAGTAAATAAGATAGAAATCAGAATTATTTAATAGAATGTTTTTTTTTTTTGTAAATTGCATCAACCGAAGCAGACAATTATCATTAAAATTTCAATTAAGTTTGAGAAATGAAAAAAACACAAAACGTAACTTTCGATTCTCTCTCTCATCCGGAACGAACAGGCCCCCAAAGCAGTGAGCTCCTTTAATTTTCCCAATTTTGCTCATTTGCATTAGTAAATAGTCGCTAAGCTAAAATTGTGTGGCGTGTTCAATTATTTATGGATTTGAAACGTGATACTGGTCATTGCAGATAAATACCGTTTAAAGAAATGAACTTGTAGGTTTTTGGTTTTTAATGTTTGCAACATTGAGTTTACTTCAAAGTTTTATTTCATGTTTACTCTACATTCCAGCACGCTTAATACCCAAGAATGATAGAATACAAGATTGCGCCGATCAGAGAGGATTTTTGAGAATAACTTTTGTGTGACGTCACACTGGTGCAATTGCGAGAGAGAAAATGTACGATATCGCCCGAGCGCCGTTCGTTTGTATGCGCTCATAAATAAATATCTATAAATGATGGCTCTCTAAGTAAACGCTCTAGAGCGCCAAATTGGCCCCCCCTATTGGAATAGAGACAACCTGCTCGAGATTGTCCGCTCAGCTGGCACTATTGACGATTTGGAAAAATCATGATTCACTTTGCAAGTGCCTGGCAGTCGAAAGACATTTCAGTTTTAGTGGAGCCACCGGCTGGTCTGGTTCATTCTCTTTCCGACTGTGCTTGCGAGGAAGTGAATTTGATTATATTTTTTCTTAAGTATTTCGCTGTGACGTGGACAATTGTTGGCAATATGTCTTTAGTTCGTTTAATTGGCGCTGAGGTGAGATAATTTTTGTGAATTGTAACGACAGGGGAGAGGGTGCAGTTGCATCCATGTAAATGAGCGTTTGCAATCAAGTATGTAAATAGTAATTGATATCGTAGCAGTTCTCAATTTGTATTTGCTTTTGTTTTGCTCAAAAGCCGCGTGCGACAAAAGAATTTTTAATATTATTATGTTACGCAACTTAATTGAAGGCAGATCCGTGGTTCGTGGTATGGAAAAATTTTTGATATGGTTTTTTCTGTTATTTCTTGTTTTTAAAGCACGCGTGCCCGCTAGTACTCAAACAAGAATAAAACTGCATACATTAATAGATGGAGCCATACACCAATTCGCATAAGTATGTATGTATATACATACATACATACATATAATTAAATTGTTGTTTATCGGCAACAATGCCGGAACACAAGTACATATTTACAAGTGTATTTGTAAACAACATACACTTAAGGACAAAAAAATAGGTATGCGAAATTTTGACCAGTTTTAGCTATTTTTCTTTTATTTATTTAATATTAAAAAATGAAAAAAAACTTTTTAAATCAAAAAAATTACAAGTTTTAGTTATTTTTCTGTTATTTATTTAATATTATTAATTAATTAAAAGTCCAGCTCATTATATAGCAAAACTTTCCACAAAAAATTAAAAAACTTTTTAATTAAAAAAAAAAAACAAATATTACGAGCATACTTCATGTGGAAGAAAATGCAAGAAACACCAGCAAAAGAAATAATAAAATTATAGTTTAAAAAACTAAAACCTCCCTATTATAATTGCCATTCGTACTGTCATCAGGTATGTAACTTGAGAATAGAAATCGCTGCATCTTTTAGGCGCATCAATATTACATAGTTACATCCCGAGCTAATAAAAGGAAGGTAAAATGTATAAAAAATCAATGCGAACTCTCAGCCGCTTTAAACATGCATTTTATTTTACTGAAATTTTATGGGCTAGCTTGCATGATTTTTTTATTTTCTAATTGTTTGTTTAAAATTTAATTTGCTATAAAACTGCACAAGAAAATTTTTCTAAAAATTCTTATTAAAAAGTTTGAAATTTTGGTAATAATTTAAAAGTTTGATGAAGTCTTATATTTTTGAATTATTTATTTAAAATTCAATGGAGTATAAAATTGCATACAAAATTTTTTCTAAAAATTCTGATTAAAGAGTTTGAAGTTTTCGTTGAAATTTGTAATTTTTGTGAGTTTTATATGTATTTTTTACAAAGTTTGAAATATAGATTTATATAGTGTCTAATATATCATAAACTAAACTTTTATAAAAAATTAACAAAACTAAATTAAAAAAACAACAAAACTGGTTAAAATTCCGCACATCTATTTTTTATCCATGAGTGTATGTATGTATACATATATACATATATGCATTTTATGGTTTCGGCACACATTTACTAACATTCAAGTTTATATTTAAGTAGTACATAAATACATACACATCGTCGTTTAAAGTACAAAACCGCGTAACGTGGTGCTGCAAAACCTCGTAACTTACATTTGCTACCAAAAAATATATTTGCTCACCGGAAACTCCAAGCACTTATCCATTCATACTAAAATATCGATACTAAGATATAAGAAGAGATTATTAGGGTTAAAAGAGATAATCGTAATAAGGCAAGTTTTACTCTCTCCTATAAAACTTGGGAAACTTCACATACAAGGTTTTGCATTTTCTTGTTAAGCGGTTTTTTACTTCAAACGACGATATGTACATGCATACATACATACATATGATTCGCTAAATAAATTCTTAACGCTATCTCCACCGGCACGTGTAAGTCAAATATTTTTTCGTTAGTAAAAATAAAATTCAACTACCTAGGAAAAAAGCAACAGGACTTTTTAAAACAGAATCTTTTTCAATTCAAAATCAAAACTGTTTGAATCATTGTTAGAAATGTAGTTCAAATTTAACATTGAATTTTGCTTTGTTGGAATTTCTGGATTTAATTTCCATCTGACGAAAAATATTCAAATAATAAATGATAGGTATGAAGTCATGACCAAAAATTATAATAAAACTATTAACATTATAATTTATAAAGGTAGCTTTTATTTAGAAAAGAGCAGAGGAAAATAAGCTCAATTTTTTTTAGATCAAAAGTAAAACAAATAAAAATCAGTGAAAAATTCACGATTGGTGTTATTTTAACTTGTTTGTTAATACTTTATTGCCTTTTATGTGACTTTTTTCGGAATTAAGAAGTGCTCTTGCCGAAGTAGCCGGCAGCTTACATAGATGTGCCTACTGCTACTCGGGAGGTCCATGGTTCAATTCCTATCCCCAGTAACATCAAAAAAAGGTAAACCTCCGACAGTACTTCTTCGGTGCTGGAGTAAAAGTGTATATCTCTCAATTTAGGGGTCTCCCTTAAACTGGAAAAAGCCTTGAAAACTTCTAAAAACCCAAAAATTTTATTTAGAGTTCGAAATTTGTGTGAAATGAAAAAAACTGGTTTGTTTGGTAAAAAATCCGGTTTATTCGATATTTATTCGGTGGAAACCGGTTTGGAAAAAACGAGTTAATTACCATAGTGGCAAATAAAATCACTTTGAAATGGAGGTGCTATAGATATGACCGATACTGTATGTATTTGTATGTATATACATATGTACTTGTACATTTTATTAAGGAAAGAGTAAATACAATATACATACATATGTATTTGCATATAAACGTACTTACATACATAAGAGAACTTTGACAAACTTTTGCAACAATGCCTGCACACTCATACGTACTATGATTGCAGTAAATAAATCTAATTAAGCGATGAGATTGTGCTTATTATTTTGTTAACTTAAAATACCTGCTAACACAAAATGTGAAAATTTTAGAAATTTCAACAAATTTCCCCTTCTCTACGAAGAAACAATTTCGTTGTATTACTTTTCTTTCGAAGAAAGGGGATTGGTCAGTTCCAGTTGAGTATTAGAACATTTCGCAATTTTGCAGTAGACAATTAAATTTTTGTAAGGCATTTGATTAGTATGCATATACATATTTTTATTTATATTACTTTATATGTGTACATACATAGCTGCCTCAGCTAAAAATTCGCTCACATCAAATTACTCTTTGAACATACTACGTACACACAGAGGTACATATCGTCGGTGATACTGCAAAACGGTCTATGTGTGCATTAGTACCCTTGACACTTTTATATGGTCTCTTACTTGCACCGGAATGCATTTGCAAATCGTTACACCTTAATAAACGAATGACAAAACTGTCTACCTTTGGCTGATGAAGATGAACGATTGGCAGAAGCGATCAGACACAGATAACAGATCAATTAAGCACCAGAGGTAATAAGTGACATAGAACGTTTTGCAGTAGCACCGACGATATATAGATATGTATGCACCCAGTTGCTTTTTATTTCCAGAGAAACTTTCGGCTATATATTTTTTCAAATCTCTCCGAAACTCGAAGCTCTCTTTCTGCATTTTTATTTTATTCGCCGATAGTGCCGTGAGCTGTACATCCACATTAGAGCAACTTGTTGATTTTTACAGTGTAGGCAAATGCATAGCGTTTGTTTAAAACATAGTCAGTGCAAGGTCAAATCAATTACAATTCCGATTTCCACTGTTTTTTTTAATCACCAAATTAGCATGTTTAACAGTTCGTAGCCCTTTTAATAAAGAATGCAACTAATAAATTAA